CACTCCACCCATGCAACAAAAACATCCCACCCACTCACCCATGTAATAAAACATCCCACCCACCACCCATGCATCATAAACATCCACCCCCCACCACGAAACAAAAAGCCCACCCACTCCACCCAGCAACAAAAACATCCACCTACCCCTCCCATGCAACACAACAAAACATCCCAACTACTTCCACCCACGAAACAAAAACATCCCACCCACCCACCCAAGCAAACAAAAACATCCAACCCACTCCACCCATGCATCATAAACATCCCACCCACCCACCCATGCATCAAAACATCCCACCCACCCCACCCATGCAACAAAAAACATCCCACCCACCCCACCCATGCAACAAAAACATCCCACCTACTCCACCCACGAACAAAACATCCCACCCACCCCACCCATGCAACAAAACATCCCACCCACCCCACCCATGCAACAAAACATCCCACCTACCCCACCCACGAAACAAAACATCCCACCACCCACCCATGCAAAAAAAACATCCCTACCCAAACCCCATGCAACAAAACATCCCACCTACTCTACCTACAAAACAAAAACATCCCACCTTCCACCCATATAACAAAAAACATCCCACCCACCCACCCATGCAACAAAAACATCCCACCCACTCCACCAATGCATCATAAACATCCCACCCAACCCACCCATGCAACAAAAACATCCCACCTACTCCATCCACGAAACAAAAACATCCCACCCACCCCACCCATGCAACAAAAACATCCCACCCACCCCACCCATGCAATAAAACATCCCATCCACCTCACCCATGCAACAAAAACATCCCACCTTCCCTCCCACGAAACAAAAACATGCCACCCACCCCACCCACGAAACAAAAACATCCCATCCACCCCACCCATGCAACAAACATCCCACCCACCCACCCATGCAACAAAAAACATCCCACCCATCCCCACCCATGCAACAAAAACATCCCACCTACTCCACCCACGAAACAAAACATCCCACCCATCCCACCCATGCAACAAAAACATCCCACCTACCTGCCCACGAAACAAAAAACATCCCACCCACCCCACCCATAAATCAAAACATCCCACCCACACCCACCCATGCAACAAAACATCCCACCCACCCCACCCATGCAAAACAAAACATCCCACCCACCCCACCTACAACAAAAACATCCCACCCACCCCACCCATGCAGCAAAACATCCCACCTACTCCACCCACGAAACAAAACATTCCACCCACCCCACCCATGCAACAAAACATCCCACCCACCCCACCCATAAACAAAAACATCCCACCCACCCCACCCATGCAACAAAAACTCCACCTAACCCACCCATGTAACAAAACATCCCACCCACCCCACCCATGCAACAAAAACATCCCACCCATTTCACCCACATGCAAAAAAAACATCCCACCTACCCCACCCATGCAACAAAACATCCACCTACTCTACCCACGAAACAAAACATCCCACCCACCCCACAAATGCAACAAAAACATCCCACCTACTCCACCCACGAAACAAAACATCCCACCCACCCCATCCATGCAACAAAAAACATCCACCTACTCCACCCACGAAACAAAAACATCCCACCTGCTCCACCACGAAACAAAACATCCCACCCTCTCCACCCATAACAAAACATCCCACCCCCCACCCATGCAACAAAAACATCCCATCCACTCCACCCATGCATCATAACCATCCCACCACCCCAACCATGCAACAAAAACATCCACCTGCCCATCCGCAGAACAAAAACATCCACCACCCCACCATGCAACAAAAACATCCCACCCACCCACCATGCAACAAACATCACCACCCCACCCATGCAATCACCTGTCATCACAAACCAAAAACATCACCACCCCCACCCATGCAACAAAACATCCACCACCCCACCCATGCAACAAAACATCCACCACCCACCCATGCAACAAAACATCCCCACCACCCGCCCATGCCAACAAAACATCACCTATCACCACGAACCAAAACATCCCATGTAACAAAACGTCACATCCCACAGAACAAAAACATCCCACCCACCCCACCCATGCAACAAAAACATCCACCCCCCACCCATGCGACAAAACATCCCACCACCCCACCCATGCAGCAAAAACATCCCACCCACCCACCGTGCAACAAAACGTCCACCTACTCACCCACGAACAAAACGTCCACCACCCCCACCATGCAACAAAACATCCCACCCACCCCACCCATGCAAAAACATCCCACCACACCCATGCAGCAAAACATCCACCGCACCCATACAACAAAACATCCCCTGCCACCCGTGCCGAACCAAAACATCCCACCTACCCCGTCCGTACAGCAAAAACATCCACCCACTCCACCCATTGCAACAAAACATCCACCTGCCCCATGCAACAAAACATCCACCTGCTCCACCCACGACAAAAACGTCCACCCCGCCCTAGTGCGACAAAGATATCACCTGCTCACCCGTGCGACAAGACATCCCACCCACCCCACCCGTGCAACAAGACATGCCACCTGCTCCCTACGAACAAAACGTCACCTGCTCACCACGAGCAAAAGACATCCACCCACCACACCCATGCAACAAAAACATCCCACCCACCCCACCCATGCAACAAAACATCCACCCACCCCACCCATGCAACCAAAACATCCCACCCACCCACCCATGCGGCAAACATCCCCACCCACCCGTGCAACAAAACATCCACCTACCCCCACCACGAAACAAAACATCCACCACCCCACCCATGCCAAAAAACATCCCACCACCACCCATGCAACAAAACATCACCGCCCCACCCGCGCAACAAAACATCCACCCACCCTACCCAGCAAAACATCCACCACCCGCCCATGCAGCAAAAAACTCCACCCCTCACCCGTACAGCAAAACATCCACCACCCACCCATGCAAACAAAACACCCCCACCCACCCACCCGTACCGAAACATCCACACCCACCCCACCCATGCAACAAAACATCCACCCACCCACCCATGCAACAAAACATCCACCCACCCACATGCAACAAAAACATCCACCACCCCACCCATGCAACAAAACATCCACACCTCACCCATGCAACAAAAACATCCACCCACCCCACCCATGCAACAAAAACATCACCCACCCACCCACGAAACAAAACATCACCACCCACCATGCAACAAAACATCCACCTACTCCACCACGAAACAAAACATCCCACCACCCCACCCTGCAACAAAACATCCACCCACCCACCCGTGCAACAAAAACATCCACCACCCCCACCCATGCAGCAAAAACATCCACCCACCCACCCATGCAACAAAAACATCCACCCACCCACCCATGCAACAAAACATCCACCACCCACCATGCCAAAACAATCCACCCACCCACCCATGCCAGTAAAGCATCACCCACCCACCCATGCAACAAAAACATCCACCCACCCACCCATGCAACAAAAATAATCCACCTACCCACCCATGCAACAAAACATCCACCCACCCCACCCATGCAACAAAAACATCCATCCACACTCCATCCATGCATCAAAACCATCACCACCCACCATGCAGCAAAAACATCCACCCACCCCACCCGTACAGCATAAACATCCCATCCCACTCACCCATGCATCATAACCATCCCACCCACCCACCCATGCAGCAAAACATCCACCCACCCACCCACAGCAAAAACATCCACCCACCCATGCAACAAAAACATCCACCCCACCCATGCAACAAAAACATCCATCCCTCCACCCATGCATCATAACCATCCCACCCACCCACCCATGCAACCAAAACATCCCACCTACCCCACCCATGCCAACAAAACATCCACCCACCCCACACATGCAACAAAACATCCCATCCACTCCACCCATGCATCATAACCATCAACCCACCCACCCATGCAACAAAACATCCCACCTACCCCACCCATGCAACAAAAACATCCCACCTACCCCACCCATGCAACAAAAACATCCACCCACCCACCCATGCAACAAAAACATCCCATCCACTCACCCATGCATCATAACCATCCCACCCACCCACCCATGCAACAAAACATCCCACCTACCCCACCCATGCAACAAAACATCCCACCCACCCCACACATGCAACAAACATCCCATCCCTCCACCCATGCATCATAACCATCCCACCCACCCACTGCAAAAACATCCCACCCACCCACCCATGCAACAAAAACATTCCACCCACCCCACCCATGCATGAGCGCTCCGCCCTTCGTGGCTCAGTTCCACCTCCACACTGGACCGCACCGGTTACCACTGGACTCCCGTGCTGCTGGGGCTCACACTCTCCACCATTATACCCCAGGCACAGATCAAGTTATACAGGTCATTGATGATAAGGTTGGAGGTGAGGGTATCTTAATACACCGATATCTGCTGAGTAAGATCGGTTTAATAGGATTCAGATGAAGTACGAATCTAGGAAAAGTGTGAAGAGATCATGTTACAGGTTTTTTCCTTGCATCGAGTGCATTTCTAAACAAACACACGTATACATTTTTAGTGTTCTTTCCCCTCTCAAGTACGTACATTTCCAAACACGTATGGAAAAAAAAAGTAAGTGTACCTTATAAGGCTAATCGAATAAGACACGAACAGCATACATACTAAACGCGAGACAGTTCTTATCAATGGACTGGACAAACACTTGGCACATTCTATCCCCAAGCAGTCTTTGACCCCTAACTTCATGCAAGTAATTATTTACTTTTTTTCGCGATTTTTTACCAACACAATTCACTGAGACTTTTGTGTATGTTAAAGGACAAATTATTGATTATGTTACAGTTGAAATATATTACAGTAGGGTTGAACCTTAAAATGAGTTGAAAATGAGATGAGAAAAGTTTAATAGCTGTTAACTAGTACAGTGAAGAAGTAAACGAGGATATCTTTGTTAGAGAGCCTACCAACACATCGCTAAGGTACTCACCATATTCTTGACGCTAGAGGAGGTGTCTGTGGGCTGATCCATCATAGTGGTGACCAATACAACCCTACAACCACCACCACCACCACAACAACACTCTCACAGGTGCCTCACGATGTTGTTAACGTGATCCTCAGCGATGGCTTGTACTATCTCCTTATCTCACAGGGGTGTTTTGACACTTTCCCGAGCGATCAACAAACATTATCACGATGACTGTTTTTTCCCGACGAATGTTTAATAATTAATCAACTACTATCTATCAGGATGTTGACGGGAAACATTGTCTCGTCCTCATGTTGACATCAGAACGAGGTGTCACTCATGGTCAACAAAGTGGTTTCACGGTGCCAATCTCCAGTGCCTCACAGTTCACTATTTTCCCCGTTAAATCGACAATATTCCCTGTGAATTATGTCCGTGGAGGGTGATGAGTGAAGGGGTATGTGAGAGGTGGAAGGAAGTGGAGAGGCACGCGTGGAGGGAGGGCAACAGTGCGGCAGTGAGCGGGCGACTGCGGCAGAGGTGGAGGTCACTACTTCACAGGTGGGACTACTACTGCTGCTGCTACCCTCCCTCCTTCTCTCTACCCCCTCTAACCTCCCTCCTCCTCTCTACCCTCCCTCCCCACCCTCTACCCTCCCTCCTTCTCTCTCCCCCCTCTACCCCCCTCCTCCTCTCTGGCCTCCCTCCCCCTCCCTCCTTCTCTCTACCCCTCCTTCCTCTACCCTCCCTCCCCCACCCCCTCTACCCCTCCTCCTCTCTGGCCTCCCTCCCCCTCCCTCCTTCTCTCTACCCCCTCCTTCCCCTCTACCCTCCCTCCCCACCCCCCACTCCCTACCCCCCCTCCTTCTCTCTGGCCTCCCCCCCCTCCCCTCCTTCTCTCTACCCCTCCTTCCCTCTACCCTCCCTCCCCACCCTCTACATCCCTCCTCCCCCCCCTTCCCACCCCTTTCACACTCTTCCTTGTTTATTAAAAATCACACACACACACACACACACACACACACACACACACACACACACACACACACACACACACACACACACACTATCTTATCTTAAATGTATTGAAAGTTTGATTTAATTCCTAAGATGACATGACTCAACACAAACACAGGTGTACATAAAGAAGGCCACATCTGTGTATCAGTGTGTGTGTGTGTGTGTGTAATATAATTAACGGTTTATTGAAAAGTTCTGAGACTAAAAATATACATTGGACATAAATGACTGATTTACAAACATTGGTGGTTTAAAAAAAGCCTTCATTAGAAAGGTAAAGGAACTCCAGTGTTATGAGGACCTCAGTGGTGTAGTAGTTCCCTCACAGATGGTGTTATGAGGACCTGACGTGGTGTAGTAGTTCCTCACAGATGGTGTTATGAGGACCTGACGTGGTGTAGTAGTTCCCTCACAGATGGTGTTATGAGGGACCTGACGTGGTGTAGTAATTCCCTCACAGATGGTGTTATGAGGGACCTCACGTGGTGTAGTAATTCCCTCACAGATGGTGTTATGAGGGACCTCACGTGGTGTAGTAATTCCCTCAGAGATGGTGTTATGAGTGTGTGTGTGTGTGTGTGTGTATGTGTGTATGTGTTTATGTGTGTGTGTGTATGTGTGTGTGTGTGTTTGTATGTGTTTATGTGTGTATGTGTTTATGTGTGTGTGTGTGTGTGCATGGCAACCTGTGGTGTAATGGTCCGCATGCTCGCCTCGCAAGCATGCGGACCCGGGTTCGATCCCCGGGCAGGGTGAAACTATGGTCAAGTTTCTTCACGCCATTTGCCTCTGTCTACAGGTAATTGGGAACCTGGATGTTAATCGATTTGCGGATCGTATTCCGAGGTAATGGTAAGCCAGTGCAGTTAGCGAGTTGTCCGGTCTTTTCGGACTATTCCTTGCCACTGGGTCATGCAGCTCGTTAACTTTGGGTGTGGTTCTTGTGTTAGCGACAGCTTCTACACCTTAAAACAAATTCACGCCTCTAGGTGGCCCTTAGGCCGGCCATCCTCGTTATACGAGGGGCAACCATTATGTGTGTGTGTGTGTGTGTGTGTGTGTGTGTGTGTGTGTGTGTGTGTGTGTTTATGTGTGAGTGTGTCTTTGTACGTGTGTGTGTGCGTAGAATATGCTACTATTGAGTGTATAGGTTCGAAAACCAGTGTCTTGACGACATATAGTATTGTCTTCTGTTCAGCTTAAGGAATGAATGATGGCGGGATAATAATTTTTGGGGCCACACACACACACACACACATGAAATATTCCCATCATATATTCACAGGTTAAAAACCCCTCTCTCCTCCCTATACACAAAAATTGCATAAAATGTTTACCTCTTCACCATTACATACGCATCTTTTCTACGGGCCCCTTCACCACGTCCACAAGCTCGTGATATCATCTGTAATAGAAGCATTTTAAAACTACTGTGTCCTTTGTGGAACTCCCCCCTCCCTCCCCACGTACGCCTCCTTCAGTAGCGGACAACTCGGCGCCTTGGCAATATAACAGTCAAGTATAAGAGAAATATGACAACAAACTCACGTACGAAAATGAATGTCGGCCCTCTCACCTACTCCTTCTCTTCCTTCTGCTCTTCCTTTTCCTCCTCCCCGTCTTCTCCTACGCTCATGAGACTACCCCCCCCCTTCTCTGTGTCAAGACTCCTTACTGGTGACGTGTGAGAGCCCATAAGTGCCTCACGAACCCTACAACACAAAGATGAATTCACAATAGACTCAATTTTCCTTTTAACTGATGACGTAGAAGAACCCCCTTAACTAGTTCACTAAAAGAGCCAGTTCATAGGTTTTCGGAGCCTTTATGTGTATAGCGGTTCAGAAATAAGTCAATGAATCTCTGAAGCCCTTATTACATTACCAATCTTAGCTCAAGGGTTCAGAGTTGTTAGTGTCGAACTGAATCTCAAACCATAAACTGAATCCATATGTAAAACATGCAAATTACTGTATATATATATATATATATAAAATGGCCAAAAAACTACACAAAGACCCTACCTTAACTACATACATCTACAGAG